CCCCAGGCGCACAGCCGGCCTCTGCCAAGGAGCTGTGGCCACCCCCAATCCCTGCCAGGCCCCCCTCGCTCCCGCTCACCTGGGGAAGGGCAGTGCCGGGTCCCTGGGCTGGGGAGACGGAAGGCTGGCCCCTGCCACCCGCCGTCCCTCGCCCTCTCCAGCTTTTGGGTAAGCAGCAAGAAAAGACCTTTGGCAGATGCCACGCAGGGCGCCGGGGCAGGGCCCGGGCCCGGGGCGAGGACCCCAGCATTCCGGAGCCGCCAGGCCGCGTGCCCCTCTCGGCGTGCAGACCGGCTCGCCGGCCGCGGTGTGAACGGCTCCATGGGAAGAAACAAAGGGGATGTTGCGTAACCGGAGCCGGACGGACCAGGAAGCCGGCCGCCCGCGGCACTGGGCCGGGCTGCGCACTCGGGGCAGATCTGCCGAGATTCCTCCGTGCACTCTGACTGTCCCCAGGCCAGTGCAGCGGAAACGAATGCGAAACGCTTCCCCAAGGTGACAGCCGGCCACGGTCAGCTGACAACCCCAAGGCCTTCGCTCGCTCCTCCACTCGTTCGCTGGCTCTCCCCCACCCGTCGGTGGCGCGGGCACCGCGAGCACGAGCTCTGGAATCCCAGCGCCGGGGATCGAAGCCACCGCCACCCCTTTCCGAGCTGTCTGACTCTGGGGGTTCACATGACCTCCCCGTGACTCAGTTTCTCCACCTGGGAAGTGGGGCCGTCCAGGGATTAAATAAGGAGGCCCGTGCACGGGGCTCAGAGCGTCATCTGGCCAGTCCCGAGCGCTAAACAAACACCAACTGTGAATTGAATCATTGTATGTGGGTGCCAGGCGGGGATGGGCTCTGGACTTGAACTTCCCCACAGCCCCTACTGGACGCGTGAGCCGCCGAGGGGGCTCGTCCCACGGCCGGAGCAGGAAGAAGGGCAGGGAGGGTCACTTTCCCAAGGCCGTCGGGCCAGTATGTCTCTCCCTCCCCAAACGACAATGCCAGTAACAAGCTGCCCGTCAGGCCCGCCCGCCTGAACTGCTCTCAACGCAACTGCGACCGACTGGCCTGTGAGCGCCAGGAAAACTCCCACTGAGGTCAGGAACCCGAGTCGAAGTCACCCTGCCCCAGGCTCACCCGGAAGCCAGGTTTGCTCAGACTGAGATGGTATCTGCGACGATCTGTCACCCAAACCTGGCAATTCTGAGCCATGTGGGAGGGAGGCTGAGACAGCAAACAAACCGGGACAGAGGGACGTGTCCCCAGAGCTCTCAAGTCTGTGCCCCGGAGAGGCTGGCGGGGCGGCAGCCGCCCCCAGGACGCAGGTGGAGGGGACAGCGCCCGGCTGTGCTCGGTGGAACTTTTACGGCCCCTTCAGTAGAGCGAGGACAGGAGCACGCGAGGCGGGGCGGCCGCCACGGACCCAGGGCCAAGCGCACGTAGTGCCCGCGGCCTCCGGTCCCGGGGGCGGAACTCACTGTGCCAGGGAGGAAGGGGCCGCGGGGTGGAGGGCTTGTCCTTCCGAAGCAGCTGCCTCCTGCCACCTGGCACCGCCCCTGCCTTGGGTCCAGCGCCCCCTCCCTGCACTGGCCTGACGTGGCCGAGGAGCTGGGCAGCAGGTGGGAGCCCCCGCCCTGCATGGGGAGGTCTCGGAGCAGAGCGCCGGCCCACACACAGCACGCATGCCCGCAGGCGGGCAGGCAGGGACAGTCGCCAGGGTGGAGGCAGGCGCTGGGACACCGGGAAGGCTGCGCAGGGCAGGGCTGAGCGGCTGTGTCTTCCTGCCTGCCAAGCCCGCCCTCCCCGAGGTGCAGAGATGGGGGCACGCACGGGGGCTCCTGGTCTCCCCGAGTCCTCCATCCCCCTGGGACAGGGGCCAGCTGGGTTCCCAGGAAAGCAGGTGCTCAGCCTGTACCCCAAGCCTGGCAGGTAACTGGCGCTCACCTGCCCGCCTCCCTCCTGTCCTTTTAAATTGGCCCAATACCAGGAAACAAACACAAACCCAAGGACAGTGGGCAGGACTGGACCAGGGACCGGCGTCCAACCTCTGCTCTCTCCCAAACCACGCGCTCTCCAGCTCCCAGACCCCGGAGCCCAAAACGAAAGGGGGATGCCGGCTGGACTCTTGTCAGATTGTGGGGACAACGGTGACTGTGCAAACCGGTCACTGGACACTCAGAGGTCAAGCTAAGAGAGAAAGGACAGCAGCCGGGAGGGGCCGCCAGAACCAGCCCTGTCCCCCCTCAGCTCCCACCAGGCCAGGGGGCGCAAGGTCATGGTCATGTCAGCCTGAGAGCCCAAACAGGACATTTAAATCCCTCTGAGCATCACTGCTCGCCTCTGGGCAGTGGCCGACTGTGGCAGCCCCACAGTTGTGAGGATGGGAGGCACCCGCCCCGAGGCTCGCCAAGGGCCCCTGCTCGGAGCCGGCAGCCTTCACCCCACCAGCCCCGTCTGGACCGAAGGTTCCCGCCCAGCTCCTGAATTTCACAAGCGCAGTCTGGCCGAGTGCAGACCAGCACATTATTTTATTGTAGAAAATTTAGAAAGTGGAGACACACAGAAAGAAGATGGACTCACGCACCCACACCTCCCTCACCCCAGGACACCCACCGCCCGCCACACGGGAGGGGCCTCTCCCGACTCTGTCCCGCACACACTCACTTAGCAGACCGGCCCTGCACGTCCACCTCACAAACTAACTCTAAGCAGCATGGCTCTGCCCGGGGCCAGCAGGGGCACCATCTCCCCTGGACCTGAACGCTCCTCAGGTGCCAGCACCCTCAGGGGCTGCCTCGGGAGGAACACCGACCCGTGTCGCCTGCTTCAGGATTCCCATCACCAGGATCCCCCGCACCCGCCTCTCAGGAAGAAGAGTCCGTCGTTTCTGACCCCGAACCTCAGAGCTCAGGCTGGAGGGAGGTCCCGAGGGCGGGGAGATTCCTGGGCCCCCCATATGAGGGTGTCTGAGCCCCTTCTCCAAGAAGGCATAGTCTGGGCAACGTCAGAGCGGAATTTGAGGGTGTGGGTGGCCGTGGGACCAATGTCCCAAGGAGTGGGGACAGGGAGCGAGGCTGTGCCTCATCTCTGCCTACACCCCCATCCCTCCCTGGGCCGTGCTGGACCAATGACAGCACAGAATATGTACCCAAACGTGAAAGCCACAAAAAGAAACCACAGCCCCCACCCCCACACGTCTTCCCGCACCTGCCCCAGAGGCCTCGGGGTGCCTGCTGCAGACAGGTGCTCACCCACCGGCCCCGCTCTCTCCCTGCAGGGAGGGCGGGCTGGCTGTGCAGCTGGGGCGCAGCGGGGAGGCTCCCGGGTGCAGAGCAGAAGGGCCCCCAGGTGAGAAGTCGGCTGTCCTTTCTGACACAGGACATCTGACCTCTCTGCGCAGCTCCTACGTCAGGCTAGTTCCAGTCCCACTGAGGGGATCGAGGGCTGACTCTGAACGAGACGGGGGACGGGGCGTCTCAGGATAAACCGGGGTGTTGTGCCATCTACAGACCAGACCAGAGTCTGCAGAGGCCTCCCTGAGGGAGCGGACATACTGGACAATCAACTTTGACGGCTGTTTCCCCAGCACAGACCCACTGTGGCTGTAAAAGCCTATTTCTCACATTTGGGAAACTTGCAATGAGAGAGAGACACAAAGACAGAGGGAGAGACAGAGAGACAGAGAGGGAGAGAGAGAGACAGAGAGAGAGAAACAGAGAGACAGAGACACACAGAGAGACAGAGACAGAGAGAGACAGAGACACAGAGAGACAGAGACAGAGAGAGACAGACACACATGGAGAGACAGAGATACACAGAGACACACAGAGAGACAGAGAGGGAGAGACAGAGACACACAGAGAGACAGAGACAGAGAGAGACAGAGACACACAGAGAGACAGAGACAGAGACACACAGAGAGACAGAGACAGAGAGAGACAGAGACACACAGAGAGACAGAGACAGAGAGAGACAGAGACACACAGAGAGACAGAGACAGAGAGAGACAGAGACACACAGAGAGACAGAGACAGAGAGAGACAGAGACACACAGAGAGACAGAGACAGAGAGAGACAGAGACACACAGAGAGACAGAGACAGAGAGAGACAGAGACACACAGAGAGACAGAGACAGAGAGAGACAGAGACACACAGAGAGACAGAGACAGAGGGAGACAGAGACAGAAGAGAGATAGGGAGGGAGAGAGCAAGAACAGCAAGTGTGGCCGTGGATTCAGCCCAATGCAAGGTCACATTCAAAGACAGAGGGACACAAGCCGACGGAAGGGTGACAGCTCCAGTCCTTACCGATGCTGCCTGGGGTTCAGCTCCGTCCTGCCCTTGGTTCTCACCAAATAAACAAGGTCTCAGGGAAACTGCCCGACAGGCCCCCCTCGCTGGTCAGAGCATTTGTTCTGGAAAACAGGGCTGCTGCTCGGCCCACTGGACCCTGGGAGCCTCCAGGGAGCCGCGGACACGCTCCACCAGCCTCCCCGGCTTCCTCCTTCACCGGGAGTCGACAGGAGCCGCGTCCCTCCCGAACCCGCTTACGCCAGATGCGCCGGCTGCTGCCAGAGCCCGAGACGCTGTGCAGGCCCGCGAGGCGGGAGCCGGGAAAGAAAGAGCTGCATTGTTGCTGCGAGCGCCGACCCCGCACCCGAGCCCCGGGAGCGCACGTCCGGGCTCTGGGCTAGATCAGGGTCCGAGACAACGGCAGGGTTCGGGGCGAACCCAGACGATGGATGTGGCCAGATTATCTCGTAAACCTCCTTAAGCTTTCTTAACAGCCTGAGGAAGCCCAGGCGGGGAATTCTAGAGGGTTTGTGTGGGTGTCGGTTATGCAAAAATAGGGCAGGGGAACCCCAGACCCTGGACTGAACTCAGGGCGGGGGTGCCTCACGGGCAGACGGTGGCTGCTGTCTGCTTTCACACACATGTGAGAGGCGTGTTTTAGGATCCTGCGAGTTAACAGATACTCCGGTTCAATAACCAGCTCCCAACTCTGATCGTTTACGTGTCAGGCTTGACGGCCTGTGAAAGCAAATAGGGGGCTGTGACAGGCAGGCAGCCAGCACCCTCATCACTGTTGTCACCGTAAGAATGACATGCACCCGCTGCCGCTATGGCCACAGCAACGCTGAGTGTTCCCCGCACTCTCTCATGGGTCTTGCAGCAGCCAGAGCCGGGGCCCCTCGCCACCCCCACTTTGCCAAAATGGAGCTGAGGCCCAGGCCTGGCAAGGTGAGGCCACGTGCCCAACATCACACAGCTGGTGAGCGGCAGGTCTGGGAGGCAGGACCCGAGGTCCTACCCAACCACGTGACCTGTCAACGCCCCAACTCCTCTCCTGCCCAGGAGCCAGGACCGGTCAGCCTCGGCCAGGACCCTCCCAGCTGGGCCTCGCCTGCGCCCTGACCCTTGAGCTTGGGCAAGAACTGCCAGCCTCAGGGAGACGGTCAGAAAGTGGGCTGGGTCTGTCCTCGGTGACAGACAGGTCAGGGAGAAGGACCGTTTTTAGGTGGTAACAATGGGGCGGTCTGAAGATCCCTAATCAACACCTAATTAATCAATCAATCAATCAGTCAATCAATCCCTAATCAATGCCTAATCAACACCCAGTCAATCCTTAACCAATCAACACCTAAGCAATCCTTAATCCATCAACCCCTAATCAATCCCTAATCCATCGACACCTAATCAAGTCCTAATCAACTACAGTCACCCTGTTCTGATCAGTCCTGTGACAGGACAGTGTCTTGGGCTTACGAGCAGCACACTGGGCTCCACACTGCAGTCGGGCATGTTCAACAGTGACATCACCGACCAAACCACAAAAGTAACACACTAAACACACCTCACCAAGGACGCGGGCCCCCGGTTAGTCCGAGAGCTGACCCGGGGATGCAGAGCTTGCCTGTCCGCCTCAGCCGCGGCCCGGCGATGCCCGCGAGGGGCCGCGAAGGGCGCGCGTGCTGACTGGTGTCGCCGATACACTGTGGCAAGTTGGCAAACCTGAGCGTGATCGGCACAGGTCAGCTGGTCATCCGATCCATCTTTGCTTCACCTGAGAAATACCCACATTTCCCAGTTCTCACGCCCCCACGTAAAGCTGTGAGCTGACATCACGGAAAGAAGGGCCCCCCAGCCTCGTGGGTCCTCCCAGGGAGCACGCGGCTCCGTCGCTTCACGCCGAGGATGCCTGGCTGCTAGGCTCCCGGGAACTGAGATGGCAGTGCCACCTCCTCCTAAGGACGCCGTGTCCCCCGCAGACACGTTTCCACCCGCCATTCCCTCGACCGGCCCGCGCCCGGCACTGATAGCAAGGACTGTCTTCTGGACAGATTCCGGATGAGAAACTCACCATGGAGCGGGGGCCGCACTGTGGGGCGGGGGCCACACTCCTCTGGGGCAGGGGCCACACTCCTCTGGGGCGGGGGCCGCACTGTGGGGCGGGGACGAGAGGACCATGCGGTCAGTCCTCCTC